TTAGTTATTTGATTTTTCTTGCCTTTTAGGACTTTCTGGATGGAGAGGTGGTTGAAAGTCCTATTAGAACTTTAAAGCGAAACAAGCAATGTGATGCAAAGGATGGTGAATCTGTTAAGAGCAGTGAATGTTGAGAAGTTGTGGATTGAAATTATTAATAAAATGTTTTCCTGTTGAGAGCGTAGTCATTTATGCCTTTGAGCATTAAACATTGTTATTGATGGTTTACATTCTACAAGTATTTGTCCCTGGTCATTTCAATATTTTTGTTATATTTTATATTTATAATTTTGAATTTGTGTATTTTGTTTAAATTTTAAGATTGCATGGTTTTACATTGCTTTGAATATGCATTTGTTTTATTTGTTTATTCACACATTGTTCATATGTGAAATTATAGTTTTAAAAAAGAATATTACAAAAAATAATTATTACTTGAGAATAAAAATGGCACGAAATTTAGGTCAATTGAAATAGCAAATGAATATTAATAATTGACTAAAAATTAATAATGATTCCAAACTGACTCAAATGTAAAAAATAAAAAAATAAAAAAATAAAAAATAAAAAAAAATAAAAAAGGCAGTCCGCCCAAACAATAGTATATGTAAATTGGTAAAATATTTTATTATTAATAATTTACTGAAAATATTTTTAAAAAAATCTGTTATTAATAATTAACTAATTGACTAATTGATATGCATTTAAAAAGAATAATTTACTGAGAGTAGCATGGAAATTAGGTCAACTGACAGATAAAGTGAATATTAATAATTGATTGAAAATTAAAAATGACCCCAAATTAACCGAAATGAAAAAGAAAATGGTAAGACCATCCAAATAATAGTATATGTAAATTGGAAAGGAATCAATTATTAACATTTAACTGAAAATATTTTTTTTTAAAATCATAAAATAATTAACTAATTTATATGTATTAAAAAATTGACTGAGAATATAAATGACACGAAAATTAGGCAAATTGAAAAATGAAATGAATATTAATAATTATCTGAAAATTAATAATGATCCCCATTTTAACTATTTTGAAAATAAAACAGATTAACTATAGTATAGGTAAATTGAAAAAGTACCTATTATTAATAATTGACTGGAAATATTAAAAATAAATTTGTTATTAATAATAACTAATTAATATTTATTAAAAAGAATAATTGACTAATAATAAAAATGGCATGGAAATTAGGCCAATTGGAAAAGAAAATTAATATTAATACTTGATTAAAAATTATCACAAACTTATTCAAATGAAAGAGAAAATTGCTAGACCGTCCAAACAATAGTATAGATAAATTGGAAAAAGAATCCATTATTAATAATTGACTGAAAATATTTTTAAAAAATCTATTATTAATAATTAATTAATTAATATGTAGTAACAAAATAATAATTGACTTTGATAAAAAAAAATGACACGAAAATTATGACAATTGAAAAAAAAATGAATATTAATAATTAGCTTGAAATTAAAAATGATTCTTGATTAACTATTTCGAATAGAAAACGGATTAACTATAATATAGGTATTATATAGGATACATATGGATCTAAACTCATTGATTTTCAGAGGAAATAGTCATGCAATGAGCAAACTATTTTGAAAATACTTTGCATAGAGAAGATTGTTACTACGTTATTGCATGACTATGTTAATTATATGGCAATTAAAAAAGGAAATGAATATTAATAATTGACAAAAAATTAAAAATGATCCGGATTAACTATTTCGAAAAAGAAACGGATTAACAATAGTATAGGTAAATTGGAAAAAGAATCTATAGTTAATAATTGACTGCAAATATTTAAAAAAATCTATTATTAATAATTAACTAATTGATATGTATTAAAAAAATAATTGAATATGATTAAAAATGACACATAAATTAGGCCAATTGAAAATAGGTATTATATGAGATACATTTGGATCCGAACTCATTGATTTTCCAGAGAAAATAGTAATGCAATGGGCAATGGTCAATTGTATGTGGCTTTTTCCCGAGTCACCCATCCTGATGGTCTGAAGGTGTTAGCTCTAAACGAGAATGGACAAGATTCTGTTGCTACTACCAATGTCGTCTACGAAGAAGTTTTCAATAATGTGAAATTCCAACCAGTTATATTATGTTTTCTTCTTATGCGAAGATGACAAAATTGGTATATATCTACACAGAAATATATCTTTCATACAAATAAATTAGGATAGCAAATGATTTATATAACTGAGTTGCTAGACAATGAGCAAATTCACCACGTAATACAAATCATAAACACTAATATATAAAATCTCTAAAGTTTTCAGCACCAGATGCGTACATCTACACATTGACTATTAATGGGCAATTATTTGCTCGAATTTAAGCAATGATAACATGAGAAAATACAGTCAATACAACTCAATTCTTCAATTGCATTATATAATATTCGATATTATTATTATTATTGTTATTATTGTTATTATTATTATTATTATTATTATTATTATTATTATTATTATTATTATTATATATATATATATATATATATATATATATATATATATATATTGTTATTATTATTATTATTATTATTATTATTATTATTATTATATATATATATATATATATATATATATATATATATATAATTGTATATCGATCCAAATATTTTTGAAATATTATAACAAATTCATTCCGTGCATCGCACGAGTAAAAATACTAGTTCATAATATATAACTATTGCGTTATTGTAGCACCAAACTTGTTATAATCTAGAGTTGAATTCGCTTCATCCACGTAAGTATATCATTGGCTTCATCTAGGGGATGTACATTATTTTTGTTCTGAGTATACATTATATTGTATAATGTACATTTAGTATAAAAATAATATACATTTAGTATATTAAAAATATACTTTTTATTATGGTTCACATAATGGTCCATACAATAATTTGCCGTACAGCTTTAGCTTGGCCCTATTCTTAGTATATGTGTATATTATCATCAATGGAAGAAAACCCATCAACAATAAAAAGAGTTACTAAAATAGGTGGTATAGCTATTTTAATATATTAGAACGTTGTATTATTTATCAGCATTACTATGTTACTAGCATTAGCTTAACCTTTTTTTCTTTTTCTTTTTTTTTCTTTTTTTTTTTTTTTTTTTTTTTTTACAGTTCAAATGCCATTTAACAGAGAGGGGTAAAATTCGTAACTTTCGAAATAATTGTGGGATAATGTAGATATACATGAACAATTTGTGGAGAAACTGCGCTATGTGCATATAATTTAAGGGACAAAAGTTCTATTATTTTCCTATTAAAAATTAATTTAAAGTTTTATTTTAATATAAATAATAATTATCATGATTAAAAAATTAATATTTTATAAGAAAGAATTTTGTAATGGATTTATGTTTATGGTTTTAAAAAAATAATGAATCAAACATAATATATATATATAAATTTCTAACTTTCAATTTTGGTCCTATGAATATAAGGGGTCTTGTTAACTTCAGTCTCTAACTTTCAAACGTGTCAATTTAGTACCTTGACTATGTAATTTTTGTCAATTTTGGTCACTTCGATCAAATTTCGCCGGAAAATATTAATGGTTAAAAAATTGAGGATATTTTAATCATTTCACCCCTCTTCTACTTTTCTCCCGCAGTCCATCTTTTCCAACGGAAACTTCGTTGTTTGCAACCATGGCGTATGGCGTGATTTTTTTCCGACGGAAACTTCGAAGTTGGGAGGCTAAAAGAGATTGTGGCTTTGAAGGGTGAATGTTTGGAGAAAAAGGGTCTGAACTTGAAGGGTTGCAGTGAAATTCTGGTGGGAGTAGCGAGGCAGGGAAACTTCAATTCCTCCGCTGCGCTGCGAGTTGAACGGAATTTCTGAGATGGAATTGTTTGATTTCGGCGGTGGCAGCCGGGACGACGGAGACGCAGTGAGCGGCCATTTCATTCGATTCTTCGCTCCTAGCCGAGAACTTCTAGATAGAAGCGGACGGAGAATTGGGTATTAGGTACAGTTGCAGAACAAGGGTGAAGTTCCCGTCACCGTCGAACACCTCAATGCCACCAGCTATCACCATCTTCTCCGACGAATTTCCACAGTTTCAGCGAAGAAATGTGGAGAAAAAAAAAACAATAAATGCTGAAAGGCTAAAATACTCTCATTTTTTAACCATTAATATTTTCAGGCGAAATTTGGCCGGCAATTTGGCCGGAGTGATCAGAATTGACAAAAATTACATAGTCAAGGTACTAAATTGATACTTTTGAAAATCAGGGACTGAAATTAACAAGACCAATATAGTCATAGGACCAAAATTAAAATTTCCTCGCTAAATATATATTAAGACTATATTCTCTAACTTTTAGCCAAATACTTGAAACTGAAAATGTTCTATCATTTTTCATAAAACATTTTGTTTCCAAACAGATCCTAAGTTCTTTTTCTTTCTTTCTTTTTTTTTTTTTTTTGAGAACTTAAAGTTATGATTTTCATGAAAAAGTTAGAAAAGTCTATTCATTATATTTAACGGGTGGGACCATCATTGCGCATGGTATTTTTTTTTTTTTTTGAATGCTACTGACTCTATTACATTATAGTATATGTTCAAACATACTTTCTCAACCTAATGAAGCACACAGAGTCAACAACGCCACCACTGAGGTTCAATCTCATGACCTCCTACGTGGGAGAGATCACTACATATCATCTGAGCACAAGGTGCTTGGCTCATTGTGCATGGTATAGTATTGCGGAATTTTCATTTATATATTGATAACCTATTAATAAAAATAATAGAACCACTAACTATTGAATTAAATTATCCTACCAAACTAATAAATATTACAGAGTACTAAATGTCCAACAATTTTTTATTTTTTTTTAAAGATAAAAAGTAAAAATTGTTATAAGGTATAGATAGATCTATATAAATAGGCACCTTCCCCGATTTGAATCTAATATATCTTCTAAAAAAAACTTAACAAACCATTTACCGAAATGGGCATCACAACAATGGTGAGTCTCCAAATGGCATCCATAGTGCTTTTGGCTTTACTAGCTTCGTTTGCCCGCGCATATGATAACAACCCCTTGCAAGATTTTTGTGTTGCAGTTGCTGATCCCAAAGCTGCAGGTACACATTTACATTTTCATAATGCCTTCATATAATTTCTCACTTCTGTCCAAATTTATGTGAGACCGTCTCATCAATTTTTGTCTGTGAGACATGTCGAATTATAGTCAACTGGGTGTATAATTAAGTATCACAATTCCAGTTATAAGTATTGCAATATTTATTATTAGTAGCAATCAATTTTTTTCTTAAATATTATCAAAATTTCACATATTACTGGGCGTTTGGTTGGAGGGAATTTAAATTCCATTCCCACTTAATTTCCACCTAATTTCAAAGGCCACTAAATTCCTTAGTTTGGTTGGAAGGAATTGCAATTTTCTCATTTTCATGGAATTAAAATCTCATGCCCGCCTTGGGATTTTAATTCCATGGATCTTGGAAAGAAAAAAAAAAAGATAATGATGAGACACAATTACCCTCCCCTTTTTTAACCTAAAATTGATTCCTAACAACAACAATGGCCATTTTGGACTTTATACTACTTATTCCCTTTCATTCCCATGTATACCAAACATTGGAATTGAAATTCTCAGTAATTTTATTCCTGTAAACCAAACACTGAAATTTAAATTCTCACTTTATTCTCAGTAATTCATCTCTTATGTAATTGCAATTCATTTCTCACATAATTCTCTCCTTCCAACCAAACGCCCCATTAGTATTACAATATCTATCATAAGTAACATTTCACGTATAAGTATTACAATCCTAAATTCGACTTGCCTCACGGATTTACGAGCGTGACTCTTTCTTCTAGCTTTCTTCGACTCCTAAATATTGCCTACTAAACTAGCAAGTGAGCTAAGCCCATGCGTTTGGCCTCTTTCTTTCCTCTTTCTTTCTTGGTTAACTAAATTGTACATGCATTATAATTATATTGGTTGTTGATACATGCATGCAGTGTTTGTGAATGGAAAGCCTTGCAAGAACCCAAAACTTGTTGATGCAAATGATTTCTACAAGGCTGCTGGGTTTAACACCCCTGCTGGAGGTACAAATATTAGTTCTCTGGGACTAGTAGCAAAGCTTGTAGATGTAAACCAATTCCCAGGGCTGAACACCATGGGGTTGTCAATCGCTCGTATAGATTTCGCACGTAATGGCCTACTCCCACCCCACACCCACCCTCGAGCCACTGAGGTTGTGTTTGTTCTGGAAGGCACTCTTCTCGTTAGCTTTGTCTCTTCAAACCCACTCAACGGTCAAAAGAATAAGCTTTTCTCCAAAACTCTTAAACCTGGCGACTCCTTCATTTTTCCCATGGGACTCGTTCACTTCCTCTACAATGTTGGCCGCACCAATGCTTTACTGTTTTCAGCTTTCAGTAGCCAAAATCCAGGATATGTTACCCTTGCTAATTCTGCTTTTGGATCTGCCCCGCCAATTTCACAGGATGTTCTCACCAAAGCATTCCGCCTGGACAAAAAAACCATTAACTATCTTCAATCACAGACCTGGCCTCTTATCTAATATTCTACTTCTATGCTATTATTACTTATTATTATCTTTGAGTTGTATGCGGTTTGACATACAATATACTATTAAATAATGAAGGTAATATAATATATATTATTAAATAATGAAGGTAATATTATATTTCTGTAATGTCAAGGATGGCCTGTATGCTCTTTTATATTAAATAATAAGAAGTTTATATGGTATGAATGTAATATTATATTTCTGTAATGTCACTATGAACAATGTCTCTTCCAGTAATATAACTATGGGTTTTTTTAAAAGTAAATTGTTGTGTTGGGGTACAACCTCTATTACGAGTCAATACATGCACATGAAGTGCATAGCCCACATATTGAACTTGGTGGTACATGATGGGTTAAAATTTGTTGATAGTTCTGTTAAGAGGATTAAAGATGTTGTGAGACGTGTTAGGAACTCACTTACAACGCTCAAAAAATTTAGAGATCGTGCTGATCTTATTGGGATGGAAGCAAAATGTGCTTTACAACTAGGCAAGGAACTGATAATTGTCTAGTGATCTTATAATTTTAATTTGGTTTGGGAGTAACCACAACATTCTTAATCTGTTAAAATTATATATTAAGTGGTTTATTTTTATCACATAAAGTTTTGGACATATCAGTTGTGATTAATTGTATGTAATATGATGAAATTTAGCCCACAGACAATTTCGTTATATTTGTATAATTAATCAGGATGAAATACTGGACTACGGTCATAATTTAGCCCACAGGCAATTATGTATCGGAATGTAGTTTAGTAGTTTTATCAGTGATGATAGAAATAAATTTATTTATTTACTTTATGGTTAATTGTAAATAATTTCCAATTCTATCATGAAGTTTAGTTTTATGATGTAAACTTTAGATCATATTTCTTAATTTGTCCACAGGGATTAAGAAAAGGAACATGATCTCTTAAGTTTTTTTTTATCATAATGGTTGTAATGAATCTTATTGAGTAAAACTTTAGCCTATAGGCAAGTTTTATGTCATTTGATTCTTCATCTCACTTGATAATAGTTTCATCATAAATAAAATTTTTCAGTTGGATCTAATTGAGTAAAATTTTAGCCCACGGGCAAGTTTTATGTCACTAGATTCTTCTGGCTCTTTAGTAATTGTGAAATATATTATCATAAGGGTTTCTTAATTGGATTTAATAGAATTAAAACTTTAGCCCACAGATAAGTTTTATGTCAATAAATCCCTTAACCCATTAGATAATAATTTTATCACAATTCTTAGAATATATAAATTTAGCTCAATTATAATTCTAAGTTTTATGGTTTGCATTGGCAAAACATGTATTCAGTCACTTCCCAAAATTTAGCCACTTTTATTAATTAATCCACGAATCTTGCTCGGTTCTTCGGACTAACCGTAGTAAGCTATGTGGTTTGACATACATCTTTTGGATTTCAATAATAATAAAATGTATCTTTTGAGCCAAATTCTAACTTGGTTTCAGAAGGTGTATTTTGTTTTTTAGTATGTCCAACTATGGTGGGGAGTTATATCTTCATTATTTAGTTGGACTTTAATTGGAACCAAAAATTGATTATTTAGTATGTCCAACTGATGGTAGGGAATTATGTCTTTGATCATTTGTTAGTTGGTCAAATCAATTATGAGTATGTATATTATTACGTTCACTTTATTAATTTCTCTGAAGAATATCTTAATCAGTGGGAGTGATCATTTAGAAAAAGATCATTAAGATGCTCCACTAAAGTTTATGGATTTAATTCGCTTCATACATCCTAAATTGGATTGTATGTCGAACAACAAGTCCAAAATATTCCACAAGTATTAATCTTGTATTTGTTCTTATAAATTCATAAGTTCAAATTATTGAACATTTGGTTGTGCAACATATTTATGAAAATGTTGTAACAGTATTAAGGAATTTATTAGAATAAAAGCATTTAACTTGGGGTGAACTGTAATTTAATAAATTCTTCAGTGATTAATAGAGTCTTTACTTTCATCAAAATTGATCCTGGGTCATTTTGGTTTGTAAGGCTCAAAACAATTTTATGAGACATATAAGTAAGACTCATTATGTTCAGTTCATTTAAAGTGAACATTGAAGTTATTTGGGAAGTTATGGTGTATGTTTAAGATTCCAAATTTATGGACTTAGACCTTTGGTTTATTGTCTAAGTTATTGGAATGATTTTGTGACTTGACTATCTTTTGGCTATTTTTTTATGAGTGGGAGTTTTTTATGAGTGGGAGTAACAGACGTGTTAACTCCAAGCTCTTAGTCGTTAGAGATAGTACTTAAAGTTAACTTATAAAGAAGTCATAGAATATAGTTAGCATTATACTAACATTAAGAGATCTCTACTTAAGGCATGATTATAAAGTTCTAGAGATCATACAGTGTACTCTTTTGTACAATTTGGATGTGTTTTCTCTTTCAGTTGTGCACATAATGTATTTTGAGAAACATCCCTTAAGGTACCAAGAATAAACATAGGGTTTGTTCATAAAGGACCTAAGTTGGAGAATTAAAATGCATGTGACCATAATGCATATTACTCGGATTAAATAGAGGACACGTCACTATGATTCATGTGTTTTGTTCTTTAATGAAGGTTGTGCTAGTACTTCACTAGAAGTTGTTAGTCAACCAGACTCTGTGCCTAATATAGACCTGGATTGATGGGATACAGGTTTATGGATTAGATAGCACATTCAGATGGTCCTCATACTGCTCAGTGGACACCAATACACCATCTAGGGTTCTGAGTCAGGTATGAGGCAAAATATGGCTAACGGTCTACCGTTAAAGAGGCAACACAACAGGGAACATCAACTATGGTTGGAGATCTACATGGCTACGCTTCCGCTCTTATAACGAGGTCAGATCTCTCGTATACTGTTATTCATTATATTTAGACTATTTAGATTTAACACCATGTCTCTTACAAAGATAAAACTATGTGTTTTTTCAAAAGAAAATTGTTGTATTGGGGTACAACCTTTGTTACGAGTCAGTACATGCACATGAAGTGCATATCCCACATTTTAAACTTGGTGGTGTAGGATGAGTTAAAATTTGCTGATAGTTCCGTTAAGAGGGTTAGAGATGTTGTGAGATGGGTTAGGAACTCACTTACAAGACTCAAAAAATTTAGAGATCTTGTTGATCTTATTGGGATGGAAGCAAAATGTGCTTTACAGGTAGATGTTCCAACAATATGCATGGAATAGCGCCTACATTATGTTTAACATTGACATACAATACAAGAAGGTGTTTGAAGAATATGAGGATAATGATGCCTCATTTTCTGCTGATATAGCTAATTTTGTTCCTTCTTATTTTGATTGGTGTTTTGTGGAAAGCTTGGTAATTCTGCTCAAAAGCTTTTATGAGATGACAGTGAGAATATCTGGTTCTCTTTATTTCACCTCTAACACTTTCTTCAGTGAGATTTCTTATTTGAATTGCATGTTGGATGACATGATTGCTGCGGAAACTGGTTGTGAAAAAAGTAATTAATAAATTTATCTTCTTTTTTATGTTTTAAAAAACCTTGTTAGCTTTCTGAATTCTGATTTGTGTTTTGTTAAGCAATAGGGTCCCAAATGGAAGTTAAGTTTGAAAAATATTGGGGTATCCTGAAAAAATGAACTTCTTCAATTGACCATTTTTGCCAATATTTTGAACCCAAGAGATAAATTTGAATTATGTCTTACTAGTTTGTCAAACTTTATGGTGATGTGAAGGGCAAACTTTGTTTAGAAAATGTCCAATTAAGTTGTAATGTCAGAATTTTATAATGACAATGCAGTCACCTACTCTGTGCATGTGCAATCTGAATCATTTTCTAGTGGCCAACCTAATGTGCAAACTCTCCAGTCTCATACTACAATTGGAGGGTGGTGGAAGTAGTAAAGAAACTGAGCTTCAAGTGTATTTAAGTGAAAAAATTATGAAGGAAAGTGATGAATTTGATATTCTTAGATGGTTGAAGATAAACAGTTAGAGATCAGATCAGATGTCCTATTCTCTCTAAAATGGCACGCGATGTGCTAGCAGGGTTGCAGTTCTTATATCCACGGTTGCCTCTAAAAGCGCATTAAGTACTAGTGTTAGGGTATTATATGCATTTAGGAGTTTCTTAACTCCTAAATTTACGAAAATTCTAGTATGTGCACAAGACTGGTTGAGGTTACCAAATCAACCAGTACAAATTGAGAAAAATATCGTTGATGTTAAATGCTTGAAAAAGGCATTCTATAATCTATATTCATAATTCAATTTCTATTATTATGTTTTACTTAGTTACTTTAATTTCCGTTTTTAATTGAGTGTTTTTTATTTGTAGAATTGGCCATTGGATGTACTAGAGCTGGGACTGTTGGAACTAGTTCTTCTCTTCCTACCATTATAATGACAATGCAGTCACCTACTCTGTGCATGTGCAATCTGAATCATTTTCTAGTGGCCAACCTAATGTGCAAACTCTCCATCCAGTCTCATACTACAATTGGAGGTGGTGGAAGTAGTAAAGAAACTGAGCTTCAAGTGTATTTAAGTGAAAAAATTATGAAGGAAAGTGATGAATTTGATATTCTTAGATGGTGGAAGCTAAACAGTTAGAGATCATATCAAATGTCCTATTCTCTCTAAAATGGCACGCGATGTGCTAACAGGGTTGCAGTTCCTATATCCACAATTTCCTCTAAAAGCGCATTAAGTACTAGTGGTAGGGTATTATATGCATTTAGGAGTTTCTTAACTCCTAAATTTGCAAAAATTCTAGTATGTGCAAAAGACTGGTTGAGGTTACCAAATCAACCAGTACAAATTGAGAAAAATATCGTTGATGTTAAATGCTTGAAAAAGGTATTCTATAATCTATATTCATAATTCAATTTCTATTATTATGTTTTACTTAGTTACTTTAATTTCCGTTTTTAATTGAGTGTTTTTTATTTGTAGAGTTGGCCATTGGATGTACTGGAGCTGGAACTGTTGGAACTAGTTCTTCTCTTCCTACCATTCCTATAATCTTTATTTATTTCACATTTCATTCCAATTTGTAAATATGTGATTTTTTGTGAATTACTAAATTGTGATATGTGAGGCAAACTGGCAAGTGAAAACTGGGGCAATGGCTGACAACATTCAATTGTTACTACCTTTGATTCCTTTCCAACAATCTCATGAGGCCCCTTGACTACCTTGAGTAAAAAAACAGGGCATCAATATCAGTTCAATAAACCATTAAGCTAAGCATTTTGCCTTGAT